GTCCAAATATTCATATCAACTTTTGGGTTGAACCTAAAGAACTTTTTAGGTAGAAATTAAAAAGGATAGTGGTAGTCCTTCGACGTTGTAGCACCTCTTGTAAGTTGTATTGGAACCTGCTAGGTAAGGATTACTTATATGTTTCGCCATAAAAAGGGCTTGAAAAGAGGAACCGCTCACAATGCGGGTGTCTTGGCACCGACTTCCAAGAAAAATAGGATTAGGTGTATGGCTGGCGTTTAGGTAAGTTGTGATTAAGTTTAACCTTGAGTTTATGAATAGGGTTAAGGATAGGCCTACGATTAGGATTGTGGGCAAATGTAGTTCAAGTAGTGGACCTCATATGACCTTAGCCCTAACATTCTGTCTTACGGCACCGGTGGTAATAGGAGGATTTTGTGGCTTTGAGGAATAGGATAGGCAGCGAGTGCAAGTTGTAGAATTAATTATATACTGTTAAACAGCATTCGTTTTGTGATTTTACCCAGTATGGTATCGAAGACGCGATGCTGATTTATGCTGGCTTGTGCTTTAATACCTACTGTATGCATTTGAGCTCTTAATCCAACTGGTTCCTGACCTGTCACCAATTTACGCCCGACTGTTTCGTCAAATACCCCTTATTCATTAGATGCTGTTTTTTTGATTATATTTTTGACGTACGTGTTGTAAACAAATTCAACTAACTTTTATCACTTTAAACTTACTTCTACAAATGTCTTTCACCGCCCATCCTATTTCCCCGCCCCCAAAGCCCTATGACCACTGGTTCCGTACAACAAAATGCTGGGGCCTGGAGTATATATGATCCACTAACTAACCTCCGCTTACCGGATTGTGATTTGGGCTTATGTTAGAGATAGTGGTATGGACACCTGCATATTTGTCTTGCCGGAATTCTGCGCAGGGTGAGATTTATTTGTTGGGCGTCTTCTGCCTATTCTCGAGTCCTGTTTAGGAAGGCCGGCTGCCCTCAGAAAAGGTCGGCCGTGTGTAGCCACCTTTATTGAACTTTGCTTTAAAGAATGCCGGCTGTTTTTGATGTCAACTTTTTTCTTCCTTGTTGCATTTTGCCCATTCTAGTGCCGAACAGCGCGTTATCTGGGGCGTTGACTGGCTGAGCGCTGCCAGGGTTGCCTTGAAGGTTAACCGGCCGGATTATGTGCGATTGTTCCTGGAATTAATGTGGATCAGCGAGTAAGTTCTTTATTTTTTTTTATATTCCTCCGCTATAGACGGGAATCAACCTTACTGTTTTTGTAAACCTTTTAGTGAGCTAAACTGAAGTGGTCGGGTGAAGTCGTTGCGACCACTCTGTATCCGAAGAGAGTTAGACTGTCTTTACAGATGTAAGAGTGCAGTTGATTGCCTTTTTCTGATGGCTATAACAGTTCACTGAAAGGACAGGTGCGACAGCTACTGTGATAATTCCGCAGTGCTCATTTTTTGGTGGGATCTTTTGTGGTACATTCATAAACTTCTTTAGACCAATGATTTGCCGACCTTTTCTAGGATATCAAATCTTGGATCGAATTAACGCAACCTTGTCTCTATGCATTTTAGCTTATCGCTTCTCGTGTTGCCTGTGTTCGTCTGTGTCCTTAGATGATTGCGAAAGTTAATCGCTGCATCCTTGAAGGGTTTCACACATTTCAGATTGCCAATAGCCGAAACTCTTACTAAGGTACCTAAGGAGCGCCTAGGAATTGTCTTCGATAATCAGCAAACACTATCGCCTTTTGTGAAGCTTGTTAATCAGTGTCTGTACAATTTGCTCTCTTCAAAGCCGGCTGTAGAGGGTTCGAAGCGATTTCTCCACTATTTTAGTTTTATTATTAGAATGTATAAGTGTCGATCCTCTCCATCAAATGACTCAAACGGCTGTTTCTAAAGCTGCGAGAAAAGAAATGATTCGTTTCTGTAAGGTTACGCATTTTCGGGCCCTAAATTCGAGCTGCGCATGCACCTAAAACAAGTTTGATTCTCCACTGGATGGTCCTTCTGTGGCGGATGGCCAACAATGCTGTCCATTCCCTCTCCGAATGTTCGATGTGTCCAAGCCAAAGCAAGTTGCCGCTTGGGGAACGCACAGCCCAACGCGTCATCCAACGCCAACGCCGGGGAACCAGATGGCCGAGCAATCTACATGTCCAATTCCACCACGTGTGATGGAAGGTTAGCAGGTCACGGCCCGCACGCCGGTCATCGGGCAATTAGCGCACAAGCGGGCAATTATGCTCGATAGGGGAGTCATTAAAGTACAGTATGATCATGACTGTATCCTGTAAAAACTGCAACTTCCTGTGCATAAATTACCCGTTTCTGCTGCTA